GGCTCAACCGCGTTAGCACGATATATCTAGCATATATGCACCACTAAACGAGCAAATACATGATAAAATACCCACGCGCTTTCTACCGGAGTACAAAACAAACCAGAACGACGAGAAGATTCATTTCATTACTCAAAAGTCAGGGGCCAGAGCTAGTGTGGCACGCCCCCACCTTGATACTCAAGTATCAATGCGAGCACATAAATGCTGCTATCCACAGCGCCCGTATGTCTGAGTATTTTAGGGTAGCCTGTACACCTGTGCCCTACGTCAAAACACTAGCATGGCGGTGATGAACCTCTATAGGCTCCGCCATTCCATATCTTAGCCCGCGACTCTAACTCTACGGCGCATGGATTATCCGCCTATACGGCACAGAGCCAAGTCAAACCGGCTTGGTTTACCGGCACAACCGCAATCTTTAGAACGACATAACCGTCCTACCCCGCCTGATGCCCAGGCCAATCACCCAGGCCAGCCCCTGGATGCAAGCTACGTTTTTTAACCTCGATTGATGGAAGAAAATAAGCGATCTACTTGGTTTTTAGGAATTAAACTGGAACTAATAATAGTGTATGTTTTCTGCGGTATGATCTCGATGATAGGGCTGCTGAATCCTATCGGAAGTCGTTCGCCGAGGGCTGAGTCGGATGACCGATGGCGGGCTCCAGCTGTAGGTACAAGGGTTCTGGCGAAGGTTGTGAAGGTTCAAGACAACATGCTATGTTCCAGGGGATAAATGCCCCTGCATGACGGCGTGAGAAGAAAAAGGCGCAGCAAACTTTAGCGCGCATATATGGAGTAACTCCCAAAGATTAGAAGGAGCGTGTCCACGATGCTGCAGGTGAGAGTATGGCGGGAAACGAATTAGGAAAGTTTACCTATGATCAGTTGGAGGTCGAGTCTCGTGGTTTCGAGCTGTTTCAGGAGGGGTGCTTTTGGGGCGCGAGTACCTTTCATATTAGCTGTTCTGTGAATGTGCTGAACTCGGAGTTCGATGTGTCTAGAAAGACTAAAAGCAAGGATACCGAGATACTGGAAACTACCCGGCCAATCATCGGTCGCATTCGCATTTCAGCATAGTTTATTTTTTTCCATCAATTAGATGCTACAACTACTATACTCACATCAATTACAACAAGAACAATCGAGCGCAGGACTTAGGCATTTGCTTCACCTTAAGAGTAGGAGCCAAAGCGTGCGAGAACGACTGTAAAGTCCGCTCCAAATCGCACGTACAAATATGATATGAAAAGATTGAATACCCTCCCAAACCAAAAATCTTGGTGCTGTTTCTTGCGCGAGCTGAGGCTAGATAGTACGAAAAATATAGGAAGTACTATTGCCCTTGTCGAAATACGGATGAACACTGGGTTCGGCCTCCTTACGACTCAAAAATAGGCAACGTGACGCGAGCGTAATGTACCAAAGTAGCCACAAGGGCTGTACCAGCTACGCATATAAGGGTATGTAAGAGTATAATTCAAGCAATCAGTATAGTTTTACTGTCGTTATCCACCCGAAACTGTCTCTTGTGCAGGGCGTGCCGAATAACGCTTGAGAAATGAAACGATAGCAAGGATCGAGCGAGCAGCTAAGTCATCATCGTAGTAACTGGAGTAGCCTATCCTATCGACTCTGTATCTTGCTCTACAAGAGCAGCAGAAGCAGCTTTAGGTGTACTTCTAGGTCTAGCAATCACCTTATGTTACTGCGACGTTGTAACGGGGAACCTGAGTTGGCACATATACTCTACCTAATTTCTCGTAAAACTCCTTGCTATATATTGTAATTACATAGGCTAACATGCAAGTATTTTGTATGGTAGAAATTATTTGCAAATGCTGAATAGTCGCTTGCATTTATCCAAAATAACTACTTTGAGTACGCGGATTTCAGCCCTCAAATTTGGATTCAAAATCGAGACAGCTTAGCAAAGTGGTTACTGCGATTGATTCGAACGGCAAATGCAGGATGCCAACCCAATCAATTCCTCTTTGAGGGCACAGGTTCGAATCCTGTAGCTGTCGTACGTTTTGCTGCTAGCTAAAGTGTACGGGGAGCCAGCGAAATGAACCAACACATTGCATATATACCAGCCAGAAGAAAAAGTAGGGAAATTGACAAGTAGAGTAGGGAGAAAGGCACGTAGTAGTGAGTATTTTAGTTAAGAAGTAGCTACAACACCTTAGAACGCAGCCATACTACCTACGCTTGCTACGGCAATACTATATGCGCTTGCTGCGGCACGTGCGGGAGGCAGTGGTAATCACGTGACTGGATTCGGAACTAGCCACTTGGTTTATTCTGCAGTCACACCATCCTGGCTTAGGTATACACGACCGAACGTACTGCGCGCATCGCCCTAATTGCCAGTCTATTAAAAAATGGGAAATTTGCACGGTGGCCGCCTTCCCAAACCTTAGCGTCCCCAAGCTCTCAGTGGATTGCCACCATGAGCAATTATCCCTCTCAACCTTCGCCTGACAGATTTTGCG